GGTGGTCCAGCGACTCGCTTCGACAATGTATCCGCGTGAGGGAACGACCCTTCTCTCCATCTCTGGTGCTCAGGGCCGTTCGTGGCCCGATGGTACTCGTCGCTGGGGCATGCTGGCGGGAGACTATGCTTGGCAGAGTCGCCAACTGCAGCATCCCGAGAGGGGCGGACGAGGCACGCGGCAATGCGCCGGTCGCTGTCTTTCTTGCCCTCCTCCATCCTTGTCGAGCCTTGGGTTCTCGCCCTGTCTGCCCCGCCTCGTCCTCCTTCCCCCTCGGCCCGGGCATCGGCGCAGGGACCAGATCCCGCTCCGTGACTTCTGGCAGCTGGTCGTCCAGCACCGGGGCAACGCCACCGTGAAAGTGAAGGAGCTTCCCGCGCAACGGGGGCGGTGGAGGGGGCAGGGCAGACGGGGAGGGAGGGAGCGAGGTAGGAGGAGGAGGAGGAGGAGGAGGAGGAGGAGGAGGAGGAGGAGGAGGAGGAGAATGAGAATGAGAATGAGTGGGATGGCGGCATCCCATGGGATTCAGATGCCAGCAGTGTCAGGCGTCGGGGGGAGTTGGGAGGATGACGAAGTGAGGACGGTGTAGGTGGGCTCAGCCAAGGACCTCGTCCTCATGCGGCAGTTCATCTACACTGAGATATCGACGCTCGCCAGCCAGGTCGAGAATTTGGCGAGGGGCAGAGATACCCTCGCCACGAGCAGGGAGACCGTGGCGACGGTCAAGCCGCGCTCAGCGGTGACGGTGATGAGCAACTTGCCTTGAGCCACCAGGGCTCCTCCTGCAATCTGTCCGCCGCCGCCTCGTTCTCACCTCGTCGTCCTCCTACCCCTCCTCGTCCTCATCTTCGCCCTCCTACCCCTCCTACCCCTCCTCGTCGTCCTCCTACCCCTCCTCGTCCTGCTACCCCTCCAGCCCCACTGCACGAGCAGCTGCATCTCGGCTGGGAGCCAGCACGTCCTGCGTGTGCGAATTGGTGGGCCCACTGGCGAATAATTTCTGCCACCAGCCTGACAGTAAGTATCTGCTAAATTACAGAATATCGAAGGCGCCTACGGCGAACAACGGCCGCCCCCTGCCTTATGAAAGCGCCTAGGTGGCCGAACGTTGCGGCCAGAGCTCGGTCAGGTAACGGACTATATGTTCCCCGAGCCCTCGTGGGAACCCTTCGGGGAACACGTGGGGGAGGAAGAAGATGAGGAGAGCGAGGAAAAAGGAGGAGGAGGAGGATGAGGAGGAGGAGGAAGAGAAGGCCTCTTGGGAGCCTCATGGGCCATTCTTGGGTTCTCCTGGGGGCTTCCTGGGGGCCTCTTAGAGGCCTCTTGGGAGCGTCCTGTGGGCCTTTGGAGACTCCTTGGGAAGCTCTTTGGCGGTCTGATGGCGTTCCTGGCCAGGCCGTCTTGGGTGCATCTTGGGCCGTCTGGGAGACATCTTGCGGCCATCTGGGGCTCTCTCGGGGCCATCTGATCCATCGTGGAGGCCATCTTGGCCGTCTTGGAGGCCCTCTTGTGGCAGTCTTGCGTAGGACTACCGATGGGACGCTAACTTTCCCCTGTGTCTTCTGGGTGGCCAGCGCGATCGGACGAGACCCCCCCCGATGGGAATCTTGCAGAAGGATCAAAAAGCAACTTAACACTGGGCACGCTGTGAACCGCTGTGGCGATCGCACAGGGAATCACCGCCGCCCCATGCCTTTGGGCGAGAGCTTGGCCAAGCTGTTCTATCGTTCCCCAATCTGTGCTTGCACTGAAGGGAGCCTAGAGGATCTTGAAGGATCTGGCGAAAGTGGGCGGCCGATTTCGGTAGGCCACCGGGTTCCCGGGGTCCCGGTTCCGCGTTCCCGGGGTTCCCGGTTCCGTGTCTTTGGTTCCCTTGTTCCAAGTTCCAGGTTCCAGGTTCCGGGTTCCCAGTTCTGGGTTTTCGATTCCCTTGGTCCTGGTTCCGCGTTCCCGACTGCAGGGTTCCCGATTCGATTTCAATCAATCGATCTCGCGCATTCGGTATCACTCAATCGACTTCATTCACCTGATCTCACTCAGTCGAATTCTTTTTCGATCTCATTCAATCGATCTTACTTAATCGATCTCGATCTCACCCAATCGATCTTACTATTGACCGGCCAGGCATGGTGCTTACCAAGTTTTCAAACCATCCGCTGATTGGAGTTTTTCTCTAGTGTAATGTTTCCCCCCAGGCGCTCTGGAAACTCTTCGGCGAACGCTTTGGGGAGGATGGGGGGAGGATCAGTGGAGGGAGGGGGAGGAGGAGGAGGAGGAGGAGGAGGAGGAGGAGGAGGAGGAGGAGGAGGAGGAGGAGGAGTAGGCCTCTTGGGAGCAACTTGGGGCACTCTTGGACCCCCGCTGGGAGCTTACCGGGAGCCTCTTGGAGGAGGCCTCCTGAGGGTCTCCGTTGAGCCTCTTGTGGGGCTTCTGGGGGCCTCTTTGGCCATCTGAGAGCGTCCCTGGCCCGGCCCTTGGGAACCCTGCAAAAAGGACCGAATCCACTCGCTCAGACATCTGGCACGCCGTGTACCCTCGTGGCAAGCCACAGGTCAACGGCTAACACAGGTTATGGTAATGAATCAGCCACGCGCAGAGGGGGGTGGGGGGAGGGGGGAGGGCTTCTGAGACGCACCCCTGTTTCTTAGAAGACGCGGGCCTTGTCTATAGATGTGTGGCCGGCGCCTTCTAAGAAGCAGCCTCCTCCTAAGAAGCCCTCCCCCCTCCCTCCACCCCTTTGTGCGCGCCGCCAAATGAATGAACGCGTATTCTGAAACCAAATTATTTGAAAAGTGATGATTTACTAAGGCGAGAAAATGATTTGGTAAATTTTGCTGCCGAATCAGAATAAGACCAAACATCATGTAGTAAACGCAAAAGTTGGTTTACTAAGTTCAAAAGCGGATATTCTAAATCCGGGGCCGTTTTTCTAAATCCTTGATCTTATCATTACCATGACCTGAGTGGTTCGATCAACAAGGGGCGGCTGATGGAAGACGCCTGCGGCCACTGCTGCCCCCTGCCTTTTGGAAGCGCCAATGTGGCCGAACGTTGTGACCAGAGCCTGGCCAAGCTAAAAGCTTCGGGGAACACGTGGGGGAGAAGAAGAAGAGAAGAGATATCGTCGGGCGTTCCTGGAGGCTCTCTCGGAGGCCTCCCGGGAAGCCTCTCGGGCGATCTTGGGCTATCTTGGGGCCATTTTGGACCATTTTGGGTGGGTCTTGGGCCGTCTTGGAGATATCTTGCGGCCATCTTGGGTTCTCTTGGGGGCATCTTAGACGTCTTGGAGGCATCTTGGAGGCAATCTTCAGCCATCGTGGCCGTCTTGGTGCGGAAGACCGATGACCTGGGAAGTTTACGGATCCTTGTGGGGCGCCTTGGAAGCCATTTTGGTGCCGTCTGCAGCGCGAAGGCCCACGACCCGGGAAGTTTATGGGTCCTGACGGGGTGGGAAGACCGATTCATTGAGAAGTTTATGCGCCTTTCCGGGTGGCCGGCGCGATCGGCTGAAAGCCCATTGGGAATATTGAAAAGACCAGAAGTTATTCGAAATCCGGCACGCCGTGTGTTCTTGTGGCAAGCCGACAGGGGGCGGCGGATCGAATATGCATACGGCGAATCACCGCGCCCACTACCTTCTAGAATCACCCATGTGGCCGAGCGTTGTGGCAATAGCTCTGCCAAGCTATCGGACCATGTGATCCCCCCACCGTTGTGGAAACCCTTCGGAGAACACTTGGGGCGGGGAAGATCAGGAGGAGGCGGAGGAGGAGGAGGTGGAGGAGGAGGAGGAGGAGGAGGAGAAGGAGGAGGAGGAGTTGGGAGCCTCTTGGGACTCTTGGGGCCTCCTAGGAGCTTCCTGGGAGCCTCTTGGAGGCATCTTGGGGGCCTCCTTGGGCCTCTTGAGTGCCTTCAGGGGCTTCTCGGGGGCCTCTTGGGCCGTCTTGGTGGGCTCCTGGCCCGTCTGCCGCCGTCGGAAGCCGCGTTGGGGGCCTCTCTGGGCCGACTTGGGGCCATCTTGGGGTACTCCAGGGCCATCTTGGAGGCCGTTTTGGGTGTCTTGGAGGCCTCTTGGGCCGTCTTGGGGCCCTCTTGGGGCCGTCTTGGAGGCCTCGAGGGCAGTCCTGATGCCATCTTGGAAGCCCCTTGCGCGCTCTGGGGGCGATCTTGGGGGCCTCTTGGGCCGTCTTGGGCTGTCGGAAGGTTGCAAAGAAGCAAATACGAAAATCCTTCAAGAACCAATGACAAATCAATGATTTTAGCCTCTTCGGGCCCTCCTGTAGGACATCTCGTAGGCCTTTTGGGCCGTCTCGGAGGGCTCTTGGGCACTCTTGGGCAGTTTTGAGCCGTCTTGGAGGCTTCTTGGGCGGACTTGGAAGTATCTTGGGTCCTCTGGGGCCGTCTTGGAGGCCATGTTGGACCATCTTGGGCGAAGTTGAGGGCCATCTTGGCGGCCATCTTGGGCCATCTTGGACCCGTCTGGACGAGGACAAACTTTTGCAACGGGGCCGTGTGCAGCCTTCGGGATGCCAGCGGGCTGGGCCGGAGCCCCATGGGAGAGTTCTTTTGGAAAAAGAACCTAAGTCAGAGGCCTCTTGGGGCACTCTTGGCCCGTTTTGGGGCACGTGCGGCTCCGACAAAGTCACGCGGGAAGCGCCTGGGAACCCCTTGGAGGCATGCCGTGGAAAGTCTGAGAATTTCGGGCCCAGGCTCCTTAATCTTCAATTCTGAGAGCTGAGGACTAGGAGGCACTCCAATTCGTGCCTCGTGGCACGGTGGCGGACAAGTTACCCAGTGGACTGATGGGAGGCATGGCCCCCTTCGAACAAGCACGTGGAAGTGCACGGCGTTGTGCAGCCCCGCGGTGTTTTTCTACCCCTCCCCCGCAGCGGGCTGGGCTGAGGTATTGCCTGGCAGGGTGCCGATCCCAGGGACCAGCGACCAGCCTTTATAATTTATAGGACCCCTGGGCCACGGTGCGCGGTGCTGGATGGCTCGCAATGGGGCTCGAGGCAGGGGCAGTCGCGCCAGCCGTCTTTCTGTCCCCCCTCCCACCATCTCCGATCCTGGAGAGGGGCAAGGAGACAGGGCCAGCCCAGACCCCGTCTACCTCACCGGCCACTCGGTGAAAGGCTCCTCGGTCTTCCAATGCTCAATCTACCTCAAGCGCCTTCCAAGCACTTTCCTAGGTCATGAATGTGCAGCCTCCTACTTTGGAAACCCGGAAACCCAACCTGCTTCTTCCGTCTTCATGCCCCATTTGTCTAGCATTGACTCCGAACGGCCTGCTGCAACCTCCTTCGGAGCCCTTCGGCGGTTTACGGTATCACGAAGTTGGATACACACGCGGCCAGCCTGGGCGAGAGCTGAATGCACGCGGCCACACGTTTTTTCGGCGCTCGGCCCCCGTGTCGTCGAGCACGCTGATCCGCCACATGCGCATCCGGCGGGTTACCTCCAGAGCGCCGAACTTGTCATCGTGATGATGTGTCGTCTCCCCGTCCTCCCCTGCAAAGTTGCGCTGTAACAGAAAGGCAGGTGACCTCCAGATGTTCTACTCGTGAAGCCAGCCATGTGCGTGTATGTGTGTGTGTGCCTGTGTGTGCGTGTGTGTGTATGTGCCTCTGTGTGTGTGCGTGTATGTGTGTGTGACTATTTGTGCGTGTGTGTGCGTGTCTGTGTGTGTGCGCGTGTGTGTGTGTGTGTGTGTGTGTGTGTCTCCAGCCCCCCAGCAGAAGCGAGCTCGCCCCGGCGTTGGGCCCGAGGGTGCGCCCCGGCGCTCGTCCCTGCTCCGGCCGCAGGGCGCGAAAGGGTGCGCCAGCGGAGTGGCACGGCAGCTGGCCGTGCTGACGCAGAGGCGCCGACCTGGAAGGTTTCTCCGAAGGGCTTAGGCGACCCGTCCTCCTCCTCCTCCTCCTCCTCCTCCTACTCCTCCTCCTCCATTCCTTCTCCTTCTAGATAACTTCTCCCTGTCGCACCCCGATGCCAGTTTTTAGGGCGGGCCGGGCGTTTCGCCTGACATTTCCCACCATTTATGATTCTGAAGCTTAACAAGTGACAACAGCTTCACAGATGGAGGGCCGGTGGTTTTCAAACTGTGGCTCTCGCCTTAGCGCCGCGCACATTCGTTTAAAACAATTACAAGCGTTTCACGGATTGAGGGCGGGTCGTTTTCAAAATGTTGTTATCGCTTTAGCGCCGCGCACATTCGATTTAAACATTTGCAAGAATTTCACGGGTTAATTGAGGGCGGGTCGTTTTCAAAATGTGGCTCTCGCTTTACCGCCGCGCAAATCCGTGTAAAACAATTTCAAGAGTTTCACGGGTTGAGGGCGGGTCTTCTTCAAAATGTGGTTCTCGATTTACCGCCGCGCACATTCGCTTTAAACATTCGTAGGAGTTTCACGGATTGATGGCGGTTCTATTTCAATATGTGGCTCCCGCCTTAGCGCCGCGCACATTCGTTTAAAACAATTACAAGCGTTTCACGGATTGAGGGCGGGTCGTTTTCAAAATGTTGTTATCGCTTTAGCGCCGCGCACATTCGATTTAAACATTTGCAAGAATTTCACGGGTTAATTGAGGGCGGGTCGTTTTCAAAATGTGGCTCTCGCTTTACCGCCGCGCAAATCCGTGTAAAACAATTTCAAGAGTTTCACGGGTTGAGGGCGGGTCTTCTTCAAAATGTGGTTCTCGATTTACCGCCGCGCACATTCGCTTTAAACATTCGTAGGAGTTTCACGGATTGATGGCGGTTCTATTTCAACATGTGGCTCCCGCCTTAGCGCCGCGCACATTCGTTTAAAACAATTACAAGCGTTTCACGGATTGAGGGCGGGTCGTTTTCAAAATGTTGTTATCGCTTTAGCGCCGCGCACATTCGATTTAAACATTTGCAAGAATTTCACGGGTTAATTGAGGGCGGGTCGTTTTCAAAATGTGGTTCTCGCTTTACCGCCGCGCAAATCCGTGTAAAACAATTTCAAGAGTTTCACGGGTTGAGGACGTGTCGTTTTCAAAATGTGGTTCTCGATTTACCGCCGCGCACATTCGCTTTAAACATTCGCAGGAGTTTCACGGGTTGATGGCGGTTCTATTTCAACATGTGGCTCTCGCCTTAGCGCCGCGCACATTCGTTTAAAACAATTACAAGCGTTTCACGGATTGAGGGCGGTTCCTTCTCAAAATGTGGTTCTCGCCTTAGCGCCGCGCACATTTTTAATAAAAGAACAATTGCAAGAGTTCCACGGGCTCCCAGGATCAACGTACCAGAACTTGTGTTTTGGAAGGATTCAGGATTGCGCGGGCGCAGCAGTTATGTTGATTCGCTGTGTTGAAGTCCCAAAGAATGGCGTTCTGGTGCGATTATGTATCGCCAAGACGCAGCAGTCAGGTTGACACGTGGCGTTAAAATCCCGAGAACAATGTTTTGGCACGCCTCAAGATCTTCAACTTGTTGTCTTCCAGCGAGGCACTTCCCTCAATGGAAATTAGCCGTTGTAGGTGCCTATGAAGAGGGAGCTTGGAGAGAGGGTTAATGCCAACATCGTTGATGACTCTTGGGTTTCCACTGGTCCTCCTCCTCCTCCTCCTCGTCCATCCTCCTCCTCCTCCTCCTCCCCCTCCTCCCTCCCCCTCCTCCTCGTCCTCCTCGTCCATCCTCCTCCTCCCCCTCCTCCACCTCCTCCTCCTCCTACTCCACGTCCTCCACCTCCTCGCCCCCCCTCCTCCCCGTCCTCCCCCTCCTCCTCCTCCTCCTCCTCCTCCTCCTCCTCCTCCTCCTCGGGCCGCCTACGGCCCCGGGGGAAACCGTGCACGCCGACCCTGACCCAGCCGAGCTGTGCGACTGAGAAATGATCGGCGGCGAGCGAGGGGGGAAAGTGAGAACCGAAGAAGGAAAAGCGGCATGAGCATAAATGGCGGTCCGCGCGGAGCACCCAAAGCGTAAGTTTGTGCAGGTTTTTTTTCTTCTAGAGAAGGCGAGCCAGTCCCAGGGAGGGGGCCCATTTTTTGGGGGGGTCGACGTTGCGAAAAGATCGCGACTTCGGAACTCTGGGGAGGAAGGGGAGAAGGAGAATGGTTCCAGGCCTCCCGAACGTGGCTGGAGCAGAAGGGGTCGGAGGATCGCGCCGCATCGCCGATGCGGCTCGATGTGGATTCCGATGTTCTCCACGCCGACGGCACCGATGCATGGCCGACGTCGCCGATGCATCGCCGATGCATCGGCGATGCATCGGCGATGCAGCGGGATTCTCCGACCCGTCTGCTCTGGCCTCACTTTGCAGGCCTCCGAGGGACGTCAAGGGAGGAAAAACCACCCAGACCGAAAAAATGCCGTTTTCTAAACGGCTTTGGGCGTTTCTAAACCCCTGCCCTGTTCGATTCCTTCTTTGGGCGCTTTTACTAGACGACTTCGCGTGTCGGGGTGGTGATTAAGGGGGTGGATTTTTTGACATCTAGGACGAGGGGGAGCGGGGGGATGGCGAGGGGGACGATGAGGGCTGGTGTAGTCAGTCAGCGCCCGCATCGGGATTGGATTGTCGCAGAAGCCAGCATCCAGACCACAACGTTGACCGGCCACGCCGCGTGCCCGACCTTGGGAGAGGGAGCATAGCGCGGAGGGCGAGCAGGACGAGGAAGGAGGGCCCCCCGAAGGACGGCCGATCGACGCCTGCACGCTCCCCCTCCAGCTCCTCGTCCAACGCCTCCTTCAAGATCGGGCCCCGGGACCCGTCCTGGAGCGCATGCTGACCAGGATCTCGACACCGAGGCGAGCGCAGCAGTCACGAGGCCCGAGGCCGGAAAAAGGGCAAGCAGCAGCATTCTCTCGTGCGGACGAGGACGGGCGAGGGCTTGGCCCAAGCGCCGTGGTGATGAGGTGCCTCGCAGGAAGCCCGAAGGGCGGCGAAGATCTTCCAAAACCTCGATCTTCGATCCTGCTCATCCCCCTCCTTCTCCTCCTCCTCCTCGTCTCCTCCTCCTCCTCCTCCTCCTTCTCCTCCTCCTTCTCCCTCCTCGCCCCTGGGACCAGGCGCTCAGATCGAAAGCCCAAAGAGAGTGAAAGTCACATGAAGAGCTCGATCCTCGATCCTCATCCTCGTCCAGGCTCCTAACGTCGTGTTTCCTTCGCTGCGTGGAACCCCCGGAGGCCTCGACCTCCCCCCCTGGTGGCCGACACTTCATCACGAGCCGTTTCCAGACGGCCCTTCGGCCCCGTGAGGGCCCCGGAGGGCAAAAGCTGCTCCAATGTTTCCGCCGTGGTTCTGTTTCACGGCGCCGTGAGGAGGTCCGGAGAGGCGGAGGGAGAGACGTCAACGGAGGAAAAAACACCCGGACCGAACAATTGCCGTTTTTTGAACGGCCCTGGGCGTTTACTAAACAGCCCTGCCCTGTTCGATTCCTTCTTGGGGCGCTGTGACGAAACGACTTCGCATGCGTGTCGGGGTGGTTATTTTTTGGGGCGGATTCTTTGATCTCTGCCACCCAGCGCCGGCGGGGCCTCCGCCCTCTGCGGGCCGCTATCGGTTTCTCTTGCAGCTTATGCTCCGAGGGGATGGGGACGGTTTTGAAACCATGGGGTTTACAACGCCATGGGGTTTACAACGCCATGGGGTTTACAACGCCCGAGGTTTACAACGCCATGGGGTTTACAACGCCCGAGGTTGAAAGCCTCCAGTGTGGGGGGGAACTTTGTTCGTTCCTAGCCATCCTGTGGTGTTGGGCCCTCGTTTTGAGGAGACGGCGCCCCGCGTTCCTTCCTCACTTCATTCCTCCTCCCCCTCCTCCTTCCTCCCCTGCACGCCTCTGCTCTTCACATAGTTTTGCCATCTCGCCACGCCCCTTAAACGATTCGTGGCCCCATAGGATGCTCCACCGAAGGCCCCAGTGGCGGTGTCCACATGCGTCCCCGCCATCCTTGTCGGCACACCCCTCACACGTTTTGTGGCTCCATCGGGAGCTCCACCAGGGGCCCCAGTGGCGGTGTCCACATGCGCCCACGCCGCCCCTTTCGGCACACTCCTCACACGCTTCGTGGCCCCATAGGGAGCCCCACCGAAGGCCCCAATGGCGGTGTCCACATGCGCCCCCGCCTATTCGGGCACACCCCTCACACGCTTCGTGGCTCCATAGGGAGCTCCACCGAAGGCCCCAGTGGCGACGTTCGCATGGGTCCCCACCACACATGTCGGCACACCCCATCAAACGCTTCGTGGCTCCATAGGGAGCTCCACCGAAGGCCACAGAGGCGACATGCGCTTCCGTCGCCCAGTGCAGCGTTGCGTCGCCCATATGGAGCTCCACCGAAGGACCCAATGGCGGTGTTCGCATGCGTTTCTCCCGCCCAGTACAGCGTTTCGTGGCCCCAGAGGGAACTCTACCAAAGGCCCCAGTGCCGACGCCCGCGTCCGCTTCCCCTAACGAGCACAGCGCTTCGTAGCCCCATAGGGAGCTCCCGAAGGCCCCAGAGGCGGCGTTCGCATGCGTTTCCCCCGCCCAGTGCACCGTCGTGGCCCCCTAGGGAGCTCCTAGGGAGCTCCGCCGAGTACCCCAGTGGCCGCGGCCACATGGGTTTCCCCCGCCCAGTACACCGTTTCGTGGCTCCGTAGGGAGCTCCACCGAAGGCCCCAGTGGCCGTGGACGCATGCGTCTCCCACAACCGGTACAGCGCTTCGTGGCCCCATCGGGAGCTCTTCCGAGGACTCCAGTGTCCGCGGCCGCATGCGTTCCCCCACCCAGTGCAGCGTTTCGTGGCCCCATATGGAGCTCCACCGAAGACCCCAGTGGCCGCGGCCGCACACGTCTCCCCCACCGATTACGGCACACTCCTAACACGTTTCGTGAAGGAGGAGGATGAGGAGGAGGAGGAGGAGGAGGAGGAGGAGGAGGAAGAGGAGGTTCGAGAATCGAGGGTCGGATTCTCTGGATGCTCTTCCCCTCCTTCCCGTTCCTCTGTGAGCAGGCGCTCATCCTCCCTCCTCCTCCTCCTCCTCGTTCTCCTTCTCCTCATCCTCATCCTCCTCCTCCTCCTGCTGCTCCTTCGCCGCCTCCTCCTCCTCCTCCTCCTCCTCCTCCTCCTCCTCCTCCTCCTCCTCCTCCTCTCCCATTCCTTCTCCTTACAAATAACTCCTTCCTGTCGTACCCTCAAAAGTGCGAGTAGGACGGGCCGGGCGTTTCGCCTGAGATTTCCCCATCATTTCTGATCATGAAGGTTGAGATTTTAACAGCTTCACGGATGGAGGGCGGGCCGTTTTCAAAATACGGTTCTCGCCATAGCGCCGCGCACATTATTTTCAGATCTTTGCGAGAGCTTCAAAGATGAAGGGCGGGTCCTTTACAAACATGTGGCGCCCGCTCTAGCGCTGCGCATTTTCGTTGTAAATATTTACCGCAGCTTCGCGGATGGAGGGTGGGCGTTTTTAAACATGATGTTCCCGCCGTAGCGCCGCGCAAACTCGTCATAAAAGATTGCAACCTGTTCAAGGGTGAAGGGCGGTTCTTCTGCAACATGTGGTTGTCGCCTTAGCGCTGGGCGCATTCGTTTTGAAAGTTAACAGAAGTTTCAAGGATCCGCATGGTCAAAGTCCCAGGAACGACGTCCTGGCAAACTTTAGGACTGTCAGGACGCAACGCTCACGTTGATTTGCGGTGTTGAAGTTCCAGGAACGGTGTCACGTTGATCCGCGGCGTTGAAGTCCGAGGAACAGCTTGTTGGCGCGATTGAGGATTCCCAGACGGCTGTCTTCTGAGGGCTTGCTTCCCGCAAGGAAGACAAATTGGTGTCGCTTCGCGAATCCCCACCAGCCCATCCAGAAACGATGCCCAGAGGAATTGCCTCGATCAGAGAAGTGGGCAGCACACAGAGGAAGCCATTATGAGACATCTTGGGATATCTTGAGCCATCTTGGAGGTCATTTTGGGCTCTCCCAGACGCTCTTGGAGTCATCTTAATCCGTGCCCCCCCCCCAAGAGGCCTCCATGTGGCTAAAACCTTTGTAGAATCAATGATTCGGCATTCTCGCCGAGGCCTCTTGGAGCATCTTGGGTGCATCTGGGGGGCTCTTGGGGCCTCTTGGGGGTCTCTTGGGGGCCTCCGGGGGGCCTCTCGGGGGCCTCTTGGGGCCATCTTGGGGCCATCTTGGGGACCTCATGGGCGCTTCTTGGGGCCATCTTGGAGGAGATCGATCAAGCAAGAGGGGAGCTTTAAATAGGCCCCCCCTCAAGAGGCCAAAATGCGGCCAAAGTAAAACCAATGACTTTGGCTTCCTCGCCGAGGCCATTTTGGACGCTCCGACGACTCGCGAAACCCCTTGTCCAGGTTCATTGGGAGGGGGGAGGGGGAGGGGTCAACCCCTCCTTCTTCCCCTTCGGGGAGGGGTTTATCACTGTTCCCTATTAATAAACACCCCCTCCCCCAGGCGACTGGGGGCCAACCGAGGTCCATGACGACCCCCCCCCGCAATCCCTTGTAAAAAAAAATACAGACACACACTCTGCCTCCAAATTCGGAACATGCGCAGCCAACCCGATGCGCCCCCCCCCACCATCCCTTTCAAAAAACAATACAGAGTACACTTGGCGGCGGCGGCGGCGGAGGCGGCGGTGGCGGCGGCGGATTGGTCCCCAGTAGCTACCCATCCACAGACGACTGCTGAATATGCTGAGGCTCGGGCCAGACTCGGGTGCTACGTATGTGTTGGGAGGGCGGGTGGGAGTGAGCGAGACGGCTTGCGGGCGGGGGGGGGTCTTGACCCCTCCCCCTACCCCCTCCCCTATGGACCTGGACGGGGGGTTTCGCGAGTCGTCGGAGCGTCCAAAACGGCCTCGGCGAGGAAGCACAAATCATTGGTTTTACTACGGTTTCGGCCCCACTTTGACCTCCTGAAGGTGGGGCCCTAATTAAAGCTCCCCTCTTGTTTGATCGATCTCCTCCAAGATGGCCCCAAGAAGCGCCCAGGAAGCCCCAAGAGGTCCCAAGATGGCCCCAAAATGGCCCCAAGAGGCCCCCAAGAGGCCCCCCGGAGGCCCCCAAGAGACCCCCAAGAGGCCCCAAGAGACCCCCCAGAGGCACCCAAGATGCTCCAAGAGGCCTCGGCGAGAATGCCTAATCATTGATGTTACGAAGGTTTTAGCCACATGTTGGCCTCTTGGGGGGGGGGCACGGATTAAGATGACTCCAGGAGCGCTTGGGAGAGCCCAAAATGACCTCCAAGATGGCTCAAGATATCCCAAGATGTCTCATAATGGTTTCCTCTGTGTGCTGCCCACTTCCCTGATCGAGGCAATTCCTCTGGGCATCGTTTCTGGATGGGCTGGTGGGGATTCGCGAAGCGACAACAATTTGGAGGGATCGCTCACTGCAACATCGGGTTTAATTTCCTTGGTCCTCCTCCTCCTCCTCCTCCTCCTCCTCCTCCTTCTCCTCCCTCTCCTGGCTGAGTGTGTTTATCCTCCTCCTCCTCCTTCTCCTCTTCCTTTTTCCTCCTACTCCTCCTTTTCCCTCCTCCTTCTCCTCCTCCTCTTCCTCCTCCTCCTCCTTCTCCTCCTCCGCCTCCTCCTCCTCCCCGGCGGAGCCCAAGGCGTTGCCCAGGGCACCCCGCAGGCCGCGCCCCGGGAGCGCGCCCCCTCCTCAAGGCAGGGGGCACCGCCCAGATGAGCGGGGGCGCCGCCGTCAATACCGCGCGCGAGCCGATCTCCGAGGTGGACCAGCAGGCCCCCCCTCCCCCCACCTCCTCGAGACTTGTTTTGTCCGGCGATAACCCAAATTATCGGACCCGCTCCCCCCCCCTCCCCCTTGAATAACCTGACCATGTTGGTTGCGCAGGTCCGCAGGGGTTACGCAGTATTGGTGCGCGCGGGCACGCGTGGGCCTGCCCACGGCGAAAAGGTTAGGTTATCGGCCAGGACCTGCCCCTCCCCCCCCCGCCGAATAACCCAGGCTATCGGAAGAAATGAAAAAGAATTTAGCTCTTTACGGGAAAATTGCCATCGGCGGTTTTTGGCCGATCTCGGCTTTTGTGGGCTTTCGCCGGGCCCCAGGGCAATCAACAAACAGATGCGGATGAGAAACCGGTCCCGCTGAAGTTTCTTGTTCTCTTCCTTTTTTTTTCTTCCTTTCCGTTTGTTTGGGGGGGCGCCAGGCCGGCATTGGGCAGCGCAGTTCGTGCCTGAACCTCCATTTTGCCCCTCCCCTTTCCGCCCCCCCCCCCCACCATTCCACTTCATCCTTTCCTGTGCCTACACCTTCCACCCCCCACCCGCCTGCTCTTCTGTCTTTAGGGGACGACGACGTGGGAAAGACTAAATAAGTGAAGCTTCAAGGTATGCTGCTCAACATTTTCCCATGGGAGCGTTTTCCTGAATATCTTGAGTTCGCATTTTCGGAGTGGTGGGCTCGGTGGTTCACTGAGGCCGCAGTGGTCCCTGCGTTTTCTGACGTAGGACGAGGATCGAAAGCGTATCATCATAATGAGTAGATGTTCAATACGATGGGAGCTCTGGCGCGCGGTTGCCCGCGGAGTTTCTCAGCCTCGCGAGCAGACGTATGTTCCATTCAGCCAAGGCGTTTCCCTGAAGCTGCAAGGCCATCGCGCTGAAGACCAAGTTGAATTTGAGTGGGGCTGATCAAAAGTGGGGCCTGATATTCAGGGCGGCGTGGGCTCAGCAAGCAGGAAATGACGGCGGGTCGCATTCCGGTTTCGCCATTCATTGGAAGACGGCAAGTGGCCACATGCGCCGAGATTCCTGCAATAAGCCGTGGAATTGCCACTACCTCGCAAGGTTGGCAGACACGTCGTCGAATTTGGTTATCTACTTCAACACGGACCCAGGCATGGCTCCCATGGCTCAGCTCGTCTTCTAAATCTGCTCAACGACAGTCCCCGCGTCTCGGGGAAACGCCCTCGTTGACACATTGATTGATGAGTTTGGCAACGGAGCTCCAATGAGCAAAGCGCAATATTGTTTCCCAGCGTACCCTTCAAATTCGACGTCGCAGATGAGGACGCTGCAAAACCTGGATGGATCATTTGCCGATGCAACGAGGATTTAGACTGGTGGATCCCATCGGCGCATTACCAGAGCGAAATGGTCCTCCCAGTCATGCCCACATTGTGGAAGTTTGCGTTCAAGGGCAAGGAGGCTTGGAATATGACGTCCAGATGCGACAGAGGAGGTGCCAGCAAGGGCCGCGAGTTCATGTCCGACGACGCTTTTTGTTCGGCCGCAACTTCGAGAATCTGGATTGCGGAGTCTTTCTTGACCGAGCAGAATGGAGTCGTTCTGCGCACTCTGCGTGGAATTACTGGCGCATTCGCATGCAAGAGTTTGATTCAGCATCGCGGGTTCTCGTTGACATTTAGAAGAGACTCGTGTTCGGCGAGGGTTCAGCGCCGCGTCGGCGAGCGGAGGGGCGCGAAAGTGCCGCGACGTTGCCGCCGGGAACATGATCGGCAACGTTGGAGTTGCAGGGGGAGGGCCGCGCTGGCGAGCAATGTTCGCGGCCCCCCCGCTCACTCACTTCCGCGCGCGCCGGCGCGGGCGATTGCAGGAATTGGATATGCGACAGAATTCTGGCTTCAGAAGTGCTTTTCCCGGATGCAAGCGCAAGAGATGAATTGCAGAGGAGCTCCTAGTATCCCAGCGAAGCGGACGGTCTGTTCCGACGCGACACTTTGCGCGGCCAGACTAAGCGCGGGATCTTCCGCGGCAGAGCGGGCGCTGCAACGCCCGCGCAGACGGGCGATGATGTGGGCCGCGCCAGCAGGGAGTTCTTGTTCAGGCGCGAAGGAGAGTATGACGGTTTGCCCCGCGATCCGATTTTCTGCCACGTGCAAGCGCTACATTCACGAGACAGATTTCGAATGCAGCAACGAGGGCGCCATGCGTCTGCTCGACAACTTGAGCGAGATCGGCCCGTCTCTAGCCAAAGGCCAGGCCTGGTTGGCGCGGGAATTGAGCGGGCTGGCGATTTCCGACAGTCCTGGAACGAATTCGATTCAGGCCGATGCGCTATTGCGGCGGGTTCGCGAGGCCACCCGCGACGCGCGTCTTCGAAGCCTTCGACTTAGCAGGGCTTGCTTGCTTGCCAGGGCCCAGGGAGATAGAGAACAGTTCCAGGGGGGAGAAGGCGCATCTTCAAGCCTTTAGGCGCCCCATCTAAAAGAACAGCTTCGGTCTTCAGCGCGCCGGTGGCTGCTCGAGACGAACCCGGGGAGCTCGCGGCTGCGCCCCGAAAATTGAGGAATTTGCGGAGACGCGCGGAGGGTCAGATGTTCATGGCGATTGGCAGAGTTGGGAGTGCATTTTCTCCACCGTGGAAGACCCGCGCAAGCTTCCAGAACACTGCCGGGGCGACTTCCCTGACGTGGCGTCGCGGCGGAAGACTTCGCGCGCGCCGTTTCTCGCGCGGCGGCGCGCGCCGCGGCCTTCATCTGCGTCGATCGAGAGGGCCGACGTCAAGTTGCCCCAGGTGCGCTCTCAGGGAGGCGAGAACGAGGACCACTTTCTGCTACGTGAGACTATCGACAGATGATTGGCCGAGGGTCGCCCATTTGAGCCTGCGCGGCGCAGCGTTCGGGAGACGCGCGCTGCGCGTCGCGTCGGAGAGTGCCAGAGTAGGCGGAGCTGCGCAGCAACCCGCGCAAGTCGCAAGTAGAGCGGTTTCTTGTTTGCAGAACTCACGCAGTTGACGTGGATCAGGAAGGCAACCGATCCATCTTCAGCGCGCTTGAAGATGACGGGCGTCTTGATTCTGCAGCCGATAGGTCTCTCATATTGCCGCTGCGCGTTCTGAGCTGACGCTCGCGATTGCTTGTCACGGGGCGCAATGGGGACCTCGAGGGGGACTGTCCCCATCAAGCGCAGCAGGCGCTGAGTTGCGGGCAGTTCCTTAAGCGCGAGATGCTGTTCCCGTGGGACCTCGCAGATGAGTTTAATGATGCCGTCAACGCAACTGCAGGGCCTGCCGAAGTGCGAGTGGGTGCAGAATCAGCGCAACGACGGACGGAGGCCGCAGTTCTGCCGTGTCTCTTCGACCATGTTTTCAAAGAGAACGACTGTTCCGATGCCGCAGTAGAAGCAGTTCATACGGCTCGTTATGGGCCCGAGTTCGCGCGCACTAATAGCGGGCGAATTGTTCCGTGGAGGGGCAGCGGTGATTTGGATTTGGCCACGATTCCTCTAGCCTCGGTCTCGGGCCAGCAGAAAGCGCCCATCCAGGCGAAAGACTGGGCGCGGAGTGACACGCACTCTATCTCAGTGGAAAAATGTGAGGTGAAGCTTGCTCGGGAGGAAGAAACCAGTCTCGCGCGCCTTCTTGACGCGGCCGAGCGCCTGTTGGATTTCAAAGGTATTCTGAATGTCGACCACGCGCGGGCGCTGAATAAGATGGGCAGCGGGCCCTGTTCCGCGCGCGATCTAAACGGCGAGACTACAATCGCTTCGCAGTTGAGCGGTAATGATTTCGTTTTGGATTTTGGTTGTCGTCTGAAGATCCGGAGGCAACCGCGGGAAGACAGTTCGTGATCTACCAAAATGTGAAGGGCGTAGGCACTTCTTCGCCGCCGAAGTTTGCGACGACCTCGGCGCTCGGCTGATGGGCGATCCCCGGGGCAAAGTGATCTGCGCAGGCGCGGCCTCGCGCTGGGCGAAGCTCAGGGGCTTGCCAGACGCGCGCGCGCATGAGCGCAGAAACCGCGAGCCGGAGGATAACGACATCAAGCTGGACGTTCATCCGCGCATGTCGAAGGGCGGCGCGCGGTTCGACCCCGAGATGCGTTGGCATCATGTCACTGCGCTTGTTCGAACGGCCATAGGTGCTCGATCAGTATCCGATGTTTCTAAATGCCAGGTAGCATCGCCAGATCAGACCGCCAGCGCTCCGTCCGTCGAGAAGATGGAGCGCGCTTAAATGATTTTCATGACGGGCCAGCTGGACCGTCACATCTCGGTCGCATTGATAGATATCGAGGCGGGCCGTGCGCGCCATTCACTTTTCGGATGTTTACATCGATATATCTACTTGTACATACAGAACAGCACTAAGTACAACGTGCAAGCGTGCGTGCTTGAGTATCTAATCCATATTTACACACATACACAGGCGCACTGATCCTTAGCCATCGCCGCACAAGCCGGCGATTCATTGACAAACTCGAGATCTGCGGCATTGTCATATTTGAATGGATGGCAACGCAGTTTCCTTGGAGCGCAGCAGGGTTGCTAACCTCTTGCAGTGAACGGGCAATGACACGGCAATGCCCACCATGGCCTTGACTGGCACCCTCGACGCCTGTTCTCTCAGATGTCTGACTTTGAAGCGGAGAGCAGATCGTTGAGTGGGCGCGGGGGCCTTCCGCGGCCAGGGGGCTGTTCTCCGGCGCCGAGCGCGACGGCAGATGCGCGGCGCATGCCGCGCGGCCAGCTCGCGGCAAGAGGCAGGCCGAGGCCGAGGGATTGCGACTGGGCGAAAATTGCCGGCGAGGCGACGCGTCGGCGCGACCTATCGGACGTTGCTCTGCTCGACGCTGACTTCTCTGATTCTGGCCCTCCGATGCCAGCGCCGCCCGTCGGGCGGTGCGAGCGGCCTCTGGCCGACGAGCGGTTCGCTCGATGCAGATGCGTCGCTCGCAGAAATCATGCGCAGTTTTTCTTGGATCCGTTCGGCGCCGCGCATGCGGGGCACTTCCGCGCGCCCAGACACATTGGCGCGCCCTCCGCGCAAGGCAACTGCGGCGGGGGGCTCTGCGTCGCGGGAAGCATCGAGGAGGCGTGGCTCTGTTCCGTCGGTCAGGACCGGCAGATTGCAGCGCTGAAAGGCGCAAGCAATTCCATCGACAGCAGGCCGCGGAGCGACGCTGCGTCGACGGGGCAGGAGTTCGCTGACGTCGCTCGGCAGTCCAACCAGCGCGCGCCTCTGCGATTCTCATTATCGCATTGGATTAGTTGTGGTCTCGCTAATGCTGCCCTTGCTCGCTGCGCCGAACTGCCGCGCGTCGGCGAGCGACAGCTCAGTTCGCGCCCAGGCATTGCGCGACCATTTGCACGCAGTAGTTCTTCCTCGCGGACCAGGGCGCGCGGCGAGTGGAGACACGCGAATACTCGTTCATTTCGGGCCTGTAATTTCTGTCTGTGCCCCCGCGAGTTCGCGACCGTCAGCTTTCGGCGCGGAGCAGCCGAGGCGATCTCAAGGAGGCTCTCAACGGTTTGGTTTCTGCGATCTCAGGCGAGGATTGGAGAGAGTCTGCGCCATCCACTTGCAGAGTGAAGCGGCCCGGCCGCCAACGCCGATCTCTGGGGCTCACGCGATGCGCGGAGGGGAAAACTCTTGCATGTCGAAATCGCTGGATGGGGCTCAGCGGGGGCGCGCGGCAAGTTGCGCTCGAAGCCATGCCAGTCGTCAGCGACCCGGAATTTCCCAGCGCCGCTAGGGATGCGAGTCGTGGCATTGCACGTTGTGCCCTTTCAAGCGTGTCCACCGGAGAGGGGAGCTGCCGCCGCGTGTTCGGAATCAGCGAATCGGCAGGGGCCTCTGCGGCGCGTCGGCGGAGCAGACGCGCGTGATCCGCGCCGCGTGGAACCGCTCCATCCTATCTCAACGCTCTGCAGGCCTTTGCGGGCCGGGCTGAGATGGATGGGGCCTCGCTCATTGTTCGGGCAGAGCGCCGAATTCATCCGGGGCGGTCGCAGAGAAAGTCCATCTTGGACATGGAGACGCAACAGCTCACGGTGACCAACCCCGACCGGCGCATTGGATTGCTGCCGGATGTTTTCGAGCCCGCCCGTTTTATTGTGCACGTGGACGCGCGCGGGGTGTTCCCATCGGGTCAGTGATCAGAGCCCGTTGAACTGATCATGCGCTGGTTCCCCTCTCGCTTGCCGCCCTTCGCCGGGGCGCGAAGGTGCCCGAGAAGAGGGCGCGGGCCCATCTGAAGAGCGTCGCGGGTTTCGCGCGGCATTTGTTCCCGCGCGACGCTTCATGTGCCTATGGTAGAGAGCGCGACGAAGCGCTGCCGCACGCGCAGCATGTTCGCGAAGTGCCGCGAGGGCGCAGACAAGACCGCGATCGTCCGTTTTGCATTCGGCATTGCACCAGACGCAACATGGCAGACGTGGAGCAGACAAGATGCAGGGCGCCCGCGCGCAGACATCGGCCCAGCGCATGGACTCAGCCCCCCGGGCAAGACCCCCACAGCCAGCAGCACTCGCACGCGCGAAGAAAGTTTTCATGGGAACGGTTGGCCGCGGGGGCGGCGTCGCGCAGGCTCGAATGACACGTTCGGACGCGCCCGCCTCTTTGAACAAGGGCGCCCTTCGGGCCACGTTGGCGCGGCCTCAGCAGCTCGCGATGGATCCTCTGCGCGTCGCGTTCCAAATTGAGCAGTCGTCCGACGAAAAGCGCGCCCCGCTGTCAAACGTTGCCCGCCGTTGTGTCGTCGTGTTTTCGATGGGCACGGGCGATGGCAAGCCGTGCTTATCGGGCAAAGGCGTGGGATCTTGATCTTCGCTAGGAGATGCGATGGCGTCGCTGCCATATGCTTCAGCAGGGCGCATCAAGTTGGTGACCGGCGCTGGTGGGTAGGTACCCCGAGCGGGCTTATCGCAATTTTGCGTCTTTTGTCAAGAATGCCGCGGCCTTGTGCAATACATTATCACAGTACGTCTGAGACAACAAGCGTAACTACAATTGTCTTTGGGAGCTTACGGCTTGCAACTACACCATTCAGCTCGAGTGTCTTTCAAATTTGTGTATACCCATTGCGCGCAATCCAGACGTCCAGGCGATGCATAAAACAACGAGGCTTCGCAATTAAATGTGAAAGTTTGGTTCCGCACCGCCATCGATCAAATTGGGTGCAGCGCGCGCGGTCACTTAGATGCTCTCTTTTGCCAAACTTCTGGTGGCGTGGGCCACAACAACTTTACCTCTCACAGGGCACCGCGAGGAGCGTTATCTGCTCGGGGCTGCGTGTTGCGCTTTGTCTGACCACCCGCTTCAAAACAGGCTCGAGCTGCGTCTGGCGACGCGTTCGAACCCCAGATTCGGCCGTTTGCCTAGCAGCGACGCGCTGTTACACAGGCGGCAACCAGCGGCTGCGGCGCAGCGACCGCTGCGCAAACGCCCGGCCTCCGTTGCATTCGCTGGAGCTGAAGCTGATTCTGGCCATGTCACTGCTTTGTTTGCCTTTCAAAAAGAAAAATAACATCCTCATGTGCATTTGCGTTTATATGTTGTTAGTGCCAGCGCGATACGCTCATCTTATGCATCTTATTGCATCGTACCAGTGACTTCTACATCATGTGGCAACGGGGAGAAAAACGTTCACTGCGAAATTCACTGCACCTTCGCAGGTGCCAGGGCACTTAGATAACACATCCGCGGGGTACCCCCCTCCCTTGGACGCTACCCTCTTGGACGCCCCCGACCCCAGGCCTACATCGAAGAGCTCAGGGGAACCCTCGTGGCCCACCGCTTGGCAGTCCGCGGGGTATTCGACCAGGCCACAGCGAAGCTCGAGGGCCTCCAGCGGGACCACATCGACCAGCAGGAGCATCGAGGGAAAAAAACACGGCGGCCATGCCCAAGATGCCGTTAACCTTATGCCGACGTCGACCTTTGTCACAGTGCCGACCGTCGCCGATCCGCGAGGATGGTCCACAAGTTGACGACGACCCAGATTCGGGCCGCGCGCCAACAATCCCCCTTAGGTAGTCCCGGCTGCCCTCAACAGGCACCCCGAGCAGCCCAGGGCGGTCTCTACACCCCAACCTCGGGGCGCGGAACGCCCTCGGAGCAGCGCCGGAGGCGGCGCCACGGCGCTGAAGCAGCCCCTGGACATCCGGGGGGCCTCTTTGAGGCCAGCCGGGACCACCTCGGGGGCCGTCTGCGCGCGGCCCGAATGTCCACCACACCAAGGTCGACACCGACGGATCTGTCTGATTTGTTGTCTCTTCCTCTCCAGGAGCGGCTGTTGCGCCGGCTCCGCGGCGGGAGCTCGGGCGCGCCGGGCGCTCCTGATGAGGGCGAGGCCTCAGAGCTGGAAGGGATACAGGCCTCGCTGCCCCTGTCGTGGAGTACGCTCGAGGCTGGAGCGCGCCTGAAAGCCCAGATTCGGGCGTTGCGCAGTGGGTGGCGATAAATGGAGGGGCTAAGAAAGTTACACTTTCGTGCACCTGAGGGGCCCGAAAGGTGAACGAAAAGTACACGTTTCTTCGCCCCCCCCCCCGCTTATGGCCGCCCCCCATGAGGCAATGCCAGACAGACGTCGAGCGCTCTTGGCAACAAAAAGGGGCGGGGCGGCCGCGTCGGTCGCCGGGGGGGGCTCTGGCGATCGGCGCCAACATCTTCGATCTGGCACTGCCGCTTTCGGGCCCTGGGGCAATCAAAAATGAATCGGGGATTGAAAGCCGAGGCGGGGATTTATCCATAACCGCCGCTTGGGGGATCGATCTGCGAGGACGCGGCAGGCGATGAACATGTATAGATTCGGGCCCCTTTGGGGCTGGCCAATATAGATACCCACCCGCTCCACCGCCGCTTGGGGGTCCAGGACATCGGTTCTCAGGCGGAATTCCTGCCCAGCAGAGCAGCTGATCCCAGAGCAGGTGCCTGGAGCCTTGGGGGGCAGAGCAAGAACCATACCGGGGGAGCCCAGGGCAGCCACAAAACGGCGCGGGGTGACGAGCCGGCCCCGCGGAAGGGGGTCGAGAGCCCCAGGGGCCCGCGCGTCGACGAAGCATCGGAGCGCCAGACGTCTGGGTTGCACACCCCGCGGGCCCTGGCCGGGCACACCCCTGAGCCGCAGAGCTGCACGTGCGCCTCCTTGGCTGGGTCACCGCTCGGACGTGTGCACTTCTTGCGGGCGAGGCCGGCGCCAGAAAGCCTGGACCCTGGGGCTCGAAGAAGAGTCCCGGGCCATCTCGTGGCTCGTCTTCTGAGGATCGGGAAGCGCACGAGGCCGAGCGCTGCACGGGGAATGGGCGTCCGAGCGATGGCCCGCTGGCCCGGCGAGGCGGGCGCGCACGCGCACTCTCTGGGCCCGGGGCGGGCCGCGGCCAGGGTTGGCGTGGCGTGCCGCGGGCGCCCTCCGAACCGAGGCGGACGCTGCCCGCAAGGCGCAGCGATCCCACAACTTGTTGCCGCGGACGTCGCAGCCGCGCGGCCGCGTCGTGCTCCACGGCGCGCCCGACGCGCCGAGCGCGAAGCCCGTCGGCTCCGAGAAGTCTGCCTGCGCCGGGAGCGCACTGGTCAGAGCAGCACCCGCACCCCCAGAGGTCGAAGAAGAACACCACGATTGAAACCGCTATCTCGTGGGAGATCTGGCCCTGACTGGGGATCCGCGTACTTTGGGCGATTTCGCAAGTCGGGCGGAAATGTGTAGATCCTTTGATGCAGATTTCCGCCTTGCGCTGCCGTCGCTGTTTCTGCCAGGCCCTCGTGGAAATATCCGCCCTGCCTTTCTGAGGTGGAAATCACCGCCCTACGTTTTCGCATCGTTTGAGGTGCACTTCCGACATAAGCTAAAACAAGGAGAATCAACCAGAACACAGCGGGTCTGGAATCACGGGAGGCCGAGATCGAGGAAGAACCCCGGGGCTGAAAAAGTCAAATCGTCGAAGATTTGAGCATGTCTCTGGCTCCGAGGGGCGCCTTCTGGGATCCAGAACCACCAATCATCGATCCGTGACGCGAATCCCGTCGGGGGTCGAGAAGTCCGGCGACAGCATAAAAAAAACACGACCGGAGGGTCTGGGGCCCGGGGCTGTAGTAGTCAGATCTACAGATCAGACGTCCCGAAACCGAGCAAAACGTGCATTAACAACATATCAACAAGCACATCAAACATGTCGTCGCGTATATCGCTACACCGAATCACATACAAACGTCCAACACCTATGGGTCTTAAGCTTTTTAATGTACTTGTTTGAGCCTCCGAGGGCGCCATCGTCGCCAGAGCCGGATTCGACCTCGAAGTCTGGGCTGGAACGCGCTCCAAGACAGGGCGTCTTCATTAGGAAAGGGAGAAGGGTCCCGAGGGAAAAGGGTCCTGGACCCCGCACGGGTGAGGGGCAACGTTAGGATGGGGCCCACTCAAGGAGGGAAACGTCGACCTGGAATCGGCGATACATCGCCGATCGGTGACAGGCTCTCGATAGCGACACTGCACGGTCACAGGTCTGGAAATCGGCTTAGACATGGATGGGTTCAAGAGCTTGCTCCAGCGGCCGCGCCATGATTGACAATCAGCGGCGAGCGAGGGGGGGAAGCGAGAAGGGGCGGGCCTTCTCAGAAGGCTCCGAAGTCCCCCAGCCTTCTGAGAAGTTTTCTAAGCCTGCCCCGGAGACACGGAACAGTTCTCCGAAGGCGCGAGGGCTTCTGAGAAGTCCCGCCGCCTTCTGAGAAGGACTTCTCCTCATTTACCCCCTCGCTCGCCGCCGAGGTAAAAACAAGCAAATCACAAAACAGAAATACGGCGACAGAGATCAGGGTCAAACACGGCGCCCCGGGTTCTGCCCCCCAACCAGGTTGGGAGCGTATAGGGGTAAATCGGGCACGTTCTTCTACAGGAGAAATATCGAAGAATAGTAAAAATGATCAGGTGACGATGTTTCGTGCTCGTTTGATTATCCGTAAGGGCTTCGACCCCTGCCGCCGGCCCCCTCTCTATCATAATGGGATATATCAGAGTCGCATCGGTGCGTCTCGGCGCTGCCTTGGCGCATCTAGGAACATCATGCGAGGGCGGATAGGAATCTGCAGCGCATATTGGGACGTTGGAGTTAGCGAAGACGCCTACGGCGAATCACCGCCGACCCCTGCCCCTTTGGAAGCGCCTCTGTGCAGAGCTTGGCCAAGCTATCTGGCCAGTTGTTCCCCGAATCGGTTTGGAAAGACTTCGGGGAACGCATGGGGGAGCAAGAAGAGGAGGAGGGGGAGGATGAGGAAAAAAGACGAGGAGGAGGAAGAGGAGAAGGAGGAGGAGGAGGAGGAGGAGGAGGAGGATGCGTCTTGGGCGCCTCTTGGGGCACTCGTGGGGCCTCCTGGTAGCTTCCTGGGGGCCTCTTGGAGGATTTTTGGGGGCCTTGAGGGGCTTCTTGGGGGCCTCTTTGGCCGTCTTAGGGCGTTCCTGGCTTGTCGGAAGCCGTCTTAGGGGGCCTGTCTGGGGCGTCTTGGGGCCCTTGTGGGGCATATCAGGGGTTCTTGGAGGCCATCTTGGGCGTCTTGGAGGCCTCTTGGGCCGTTTTGGGGTCCCCTTGGGGCCGTTTTGGGAGCCTTTTGGGCCGTCAAGGGGCCATCTTGGAGGCCTCTTGGGCGATCTTGGGGGCCTCTTGCGCCGTCTTGAGCCGTCGGAATACCGAAAAGAAGCAGATCCCAAATTCTTTCAAAAACCTGAGGAACATAAATGCTGTTGGCCTCTTCGTGCCCTCGTGGAAGACCTCCTGGACGCATTTTGGGCCGTCTTGGAGGCCTCGTGGGGGCCTCTCGGGCCGTCTTGGGCCATCTTGAGGCCATCTTAGGATACCTTGGGTGCATCTTGGGCCGTCTTGGAGGCATCTCGGGGCCATCTTAGCCGTCTTGGAGGCCACTTTGGCCGCCTTGGACGCCTCTTGGGCACTCTTGGGGCCGTCTTGGGGGCCTCTTGGGCCGTCATGGGGCCATCTTGGAGGCCTCGTGGGCGATCTTGGGGGCTTCTTGGGCCGTCTTGAGCTTTCGGAATGCCGAAAAGAAGCAAATGCCAAAATCCTTCAACAGTCTAAAGAAAATCAATTATTTTGGCTTGTTCGGGCCCTCCTGGAGGACCTCTTGGAGGCCTCTTGGGCCGTCTTGGAGGCCTCTTGGGGGCCTCTTGGGTCGTCTTAGGCCATCTGGAGGCCATCTCAGGCCGTCTTGGGTGCATCTTGGGCCGTATTGGAGGCATCTTGGGGCCATCTTAGCCGTATTGGAGGCTTCTTAGGTCGTCGGAAGGCCGAAAAGGCGAAAATGCCAACATCTTTCAACAACCAAAGGAAAATCAATGATTTGGGCCTTTTCGGGCCTTCCTGGAGGACCTCTTGGAGGCCTCTTGGGCCGTCTTGGAGACCTCTTAGGGGGCTCTTGGGCCGTCTTGGATACATTTTCCCGGAAAGGGCTCCGGCCCAGGGTTCTCTTTTAGTGGGTAAACCTAGTCCCCCGGTGCCAACTTGAAGGAGGCCGGCGAATTTTTTCCCGGAAAGGGCTCCGGCCCAGGGTTCTCTTTTAGTGGGTAAACCTGTCCCCCGGTGCCAACTTGAAGGAGGCCGGCGAATTTTTTCCCTGATAAATATCGAGGTCGAAGGAGGCCGGCGAATTAAAATTTGAGGATGTCTCGAGCGAAACGCTTGTTTTTCAGAATTTGTTGAGGATGTCTCGAGCGAAACGCTGGTTTTGCAGAGTTGGGGATGTCTCGAGCGAAACGCTTGGTTTCAGAATTTGTTGAGGATGTCTCGAGCGAAACGCTGGTTTTGCAGAGCCGACCGCGACGCGGAAAAGCGCTCCGCGCGAAGGAATTTCGATGATGTCTCGAATAATTCGTTTGTTTTTGTGCGATTTCCTGGAATTTTGGCAGGATGTCTCGAGCGAAATGCACGACCCCACCCTAGCACGACCATACCCCAGCACGACCACACCCCAGCACGACCACACCCCAGCACGACCCCACCCCAGCACGACCCCACCCCAGCACGACCATACCCCAGCACGACCACACCCCAGCACGACCCGACCCCAGCACGACCCTACCCCAGCAAGACCACACCCCAGCACGACCACACCCCAGCACGACCCCACCACAGCACGACCACCCCCCAGCACGACCACACCCCAGCACGACCACACCCCAGCACGACCCCACCCCAGCAAGACCACACCCCAGCACGACCACACCCCAGCACGACCTCACCACAGCACGACCACACCCCAGCACGACCACGCCCCAGCACGACCACGCCCCAGCACGACCACGCCCCAGCACGACCACCCCCCAGCACGACCACCCCCCTAGCACGACCACCCCCCAGCACGACCACCCCCCAGCACGACCACACCCCAGCACGACCACACCCCAACACGACCATACTCCAGCACGACCACACCCCAGCACGACCACACCCAGTCGCACCCCCGTGGAATGTTTCGTGGGGTGTCTGGTTGAGTGGTTGCCTGTTCGTGGGGTGTCTCGTGGAATGTTTCACGGGGTGTCTCGTGGAATGTTTCGTGAGGTGTCTCGTGGGTTGTTTCGTGAGGTGTCTCCTGGGATGTTTCGCGGGGTGTCTCGTGGGATGTTTCGTGAGGTGTCGCCCAGTTGGATATCGTGAAAACGTGACCATGCTGCACATGTCTATATCCCTTTCCGGGTTCGTGGGTCCATCATGTTCCCTGATAAATATCGAGGTCGAAGGAGGCCGGCGAATTAAAATTTGAGGATGTCTCGAGCGAAACGCTTGTTTTTGAAATCCCGATCGATAAATCACAGGGTGCGGGCCACTTTTTCCCGGAAAGGGCGTCGGCCCAGGGTTCTCTTTTAGTGGGTAAACCTGTCCCCGGTGCCAACTTGGGAGGCCGGCGAATTTTTTCCCTGATAAATAACGAGGTCGAAGGAGGCCGGCGAAACTCGAGCTTGTTTTTGAAATCCCGATCGATAAATCACAGGGTGCGGGCCACTTTTTCCCGGAAAGGGCTCCGGCCCAGGGTTCTCTTTTAGTGGGTAAACTGTCCCCCGGTGCCAACTTGAAGGAGGCCGGCGAATTTTTTCCCTGATAAATATCGAGGTCGAAGGAGGCCGGCGAATTAAAATTTGAGGATGTCTCGAGCGAAACGCTTGTTTTTGAATTTGTTGAGGATGTCTCGAGCGAAACGCTTTTTGCAGAGTTGGGGATGTCTCGAGCGAAACGCTTGGTTTCAGAATTTGTTGAGGATGTCTCGAGCGAAACGCTGGTTTTGCAGAGCCGACCGCGACGCGGAAAAGCGCCCCGCGCGAAGGAATTTCGATGATGTCTCGAATAATTCGTTTGTTTTTGTACGATTTCCTGGAATTTTGGCAGGATGTCTCGAGCGAAATGCACGACCCCACCCTAGCACGACCATACCCCAGCACGACCACACCCCAGCACGACCACACCCCAGCACGACCCCACCCCAGCACGACCCCACCCCAGCACGACCCCACCCTAGCACGACCACACCCCAGCACGACCACACCCCAGCACGACCACACCCCAG